GAGTGAAATGAGTCAAAAGGAGAGGGATAGATACAGAATTACTGGACACTTTTGTGAGATACAAAACATCATGAGACTAATACCAAGGACAGTACAAACAAGGGCCAGAAGGATGGGTTCTCATTTCAAAGCCTGCGTCAAGTGATGGGAGTAAAATTAGCTAGGACTGAGAAGGACCACTATGACAAAGACAGTTGGAAATTATCACTCTGGATAAGATGAATTTTTTTTTTTGGTGTAGGTCACCCTTGGGGGTACTCAGGACAGACTTGTGATTCTGTGTTCAGGGATCACTTCTAAAGATACTCTGGAATCCATATTCTGTGCTGGTTATTCAATCTGGGTTCGCCAAATGCGAAGAAATTCTACCCAACTGGTTCTTCAATTCACCCTAATGGCTCATAGCAGCCTGGTTCATGTCCCTGTGTTAAGCACCTTTATACCTGTCACCATTGTACTTCTTGCTCATTTGAGTGTATGTGTGGGGAGAGTGGGGTTTTACCTGGTGGTGCTCAGGGCTTAATTTTAGCTCTATAATCAGGGATCATTCCTGATGTTGTTTGTGGAGACCATATGAGTGCTGGGAATTGGACCAGGGATGGCCACTTGCAATACAAACGCCCTATCCCTGTACTGTTTCTCTAAAGCTCACTGGTGTACTTTTGAAAGGATCTGAGTCTTCCATCTAAAGGGCAGGTTCTCTACTTTTCAGAAGATAGATAACCATCCAAAGGGATGATATCCAAAGGGATGTTCCTGTTCAGTCAAGAATTGTCCTGGGAATTTCAGGTCTGACATTTGTGGTGAGTTCAGTACATGCCCATTTCTGTTAGGACTCATAAGAACACATGTGCTGTGAAGCTCAGCCTTACTTGCCAGAAGAGAGATGATCATTTCATGCAAGATCTCCAAAGGGAGGGCTGGAACTAGGTACCACTTAATGCCAGACTCAAGAACTGTAGCAATCTGCTTTTGCACTATCTTTGGATGGAATTTTATGTCTCCTATAATTTATCTCACTTTCAAACTCCTCTGACCCTCCATTCTTATTGTGCTCCTACCTCACAAGGAAAAGAGAAGCTGCTTTTCAAATAGTTCAAATAATACCCCACCATTATAACTTGTGATCTCTAAGAGACTAAACGTGGGCCATGATTTCATCTTTTTTTTTTGAAATAAATATATTTTATTTGGAGGATTTTAGGTGTGGAGGGAGAGAGAATGAGAGAGTAATGTACTCAAGAAAGAACACAAGCTTCTCCAAGGGTGAAGAGAGCGCACACATATGCTGCCTGAGCTCATGTGCTGTTTGCGCCCATGTGGCCGAGCACATGTGGGCTGAGCACATGTGTCACCTGCATCTCCCCTCTTGAGATGTGTATTTTCATGCTTTCTGTCTAATGCCAGCATGATTTCATCTTTAAGCCTTGAAATGGGGCCTAGGAGGAGGTGGGTTGTCCATTTCTAAGAGAGTTGGAGTTAGTAAAAGAAAAATAAATGTTGCAATTTGTAGATAAACAGTGTCTCACAAGTAGCGGAGATCCTATTTATCAAGAGTTTTAATAATTTTTAAACAATGGCACTGTGTGGGGATGTCAAGCTATTTGATGCTCAAGAAGTTGAAAGGAAAAATGAAATATAAACATAAAGATAGTTATTTTATAATATCTGCAGATGTCAAAAAAGTGTGAACAAACTGCAAAAGAGAACAGAATTTCTTTTTTTTTTTAATTTTTTTTTTATTAGTGAAACACCATGAGGTACAGTTGCAGATTTACAATTTTTTGTGCTTGGGTTTGATTATACAATGATCAGATACCCATCCCTCCACCAGTGCCCATTTTCCACCACCATGGATAATATCCCCCCCATCCCCCCATCCCCCCCTGCCTCTGTGGCAGGGCAATCCCCTGTGTTCTCTCTCTCCTTTTGGGTGTTGTGGTCTGCAAAAGAGGCACTGAGTGGCAAACATGTTCAGTCCATAGTCCACTTTTGACATGCATCTCCCCTCCTGGGAGGATCCTCCAAACACCCTTTATTTGGTGTTCCCTTCTCTATCTGAGCTGCCCTTTCCTCTAGAATGCCCGACTGGCCACTAAGCTATGGAGTAATCCTCCTGGTGCTGATCTCAGCTATTCTTGGGTATTAATATCATATTTTGAGAACAGAATTTCTTAACAGAGATTAAGCACTGAGACAGAGTAGCTGGCACAGATAAGTAAACTAAGGTCAGATTTAAGTTTGTAATCCAGAAACAGAACTCTGATACATGGGAATTAGTTCTATAAACAATGGCCCTTTGAAGCAGTCCTCAGAAACCACACAGGGAATAAAAGCTAATAGACATAATAAGAATAATTTGAGTAGCTGGAGTCATAGCACAGTGGGTAGGGTTTTTGCCTTGCATGCAGTCAGCCCAGTTTCAATTCCTAGCATCCCACATGGTCCCCCAAGCACTGCCAGGAGTAATTCCTGAGTGCAGATCCAGGAGTATCCCTGTGCATCGCAGGGTGTGACCCAAAAAGCAAAGCAAAAAAAAAAAAAAAGAATAATTTGAAAGACATTACATTAACATAAAATCTGTTACCATTCTGACTGAAATGATGAAAGATATTTAGGTCACAAGTTGTACTGTCCCAAGTATTTTGCAACATGCATGGACACATGGAATTCCATGGCCCCACCCTTACCAGAAGTACTCACACTCCCTTAGGAACATCAGGATGTGGTGAGGTGACGGAGCTTGCCCACGCACAGTTCTTGCCTGTGACATCTAGGAACTCCCCAATTGTGCCCGGGTGCACACACACAGATGTCCTGGAGTCAGCTGTGTGGCAAGTCACCTAGACACTTGGAGGCATAACAGAACAACCATTGTTGCTGGGTCACTTTTCTTGGACCAAGAATTCAGGAAGGAAGCAATTGGGAAGCTCTTGCTTGGGAGTTGCAGTCAGCCAAGTGTTCAGTGGGGTTCACCATCTCTGAGGGCCTCCTCACCTGACTGGCAGGTGATGCCAGCATCTGCTGGGAGCTCAGTTATCAAGTGGACACTCAGCTCACCTCATGCTGAGTTCTGAGAGTCCAGGTCCTTTCATGGACACTGGATTCACTCTTAGGTCTTCTCTGTCTCAGAGGTGACAGAATCACTCTTTATACTCTCTTGAGTTGAAGAAGTCCCAAGCCCACCCACATCACAGGTGAATCACAGATGCTGCCTCTTCATGCAGGGAGAATATCAGAGACATGTTGTAAATCAATGGAATATAATTAAGTCAGTCAAAGTAATAGTTCAAACACATTGTTTATTTAGAGTCCGTTTTATGTACCTGACTACCTTTATGTTATATATTTCTATTTCTATTTAAAACTAAAAGGTATGGAAAGAAAACATGTAGATAAAATGTGCAGGGACCAGTCTTGTGTTGTCTAGGTCATCCTGCCTTACTGTAGTCTGAGGCACCCACCTCATTGTATCTAAGGGGGATCAATGTGAATAGCACACTGAACCATCTGCTGTGAGTTGCAAAACAAGAAACCTAGAAATGGGAGCAGACACACAGGAAGTGTGGAGCTAAGGAAAGCAGAACTGTGTACCCAAATATCCACTTTCCCCTTGCAACCTCCACAAGGAAGATGGAATTCAATTGGAGTAGTCTACAAGTGGTTTTATATATTATTCATGTTTTCACTTTGGTATGGAGCAACTGTTTGCTTATGTCATATCCAGGGATTTTCACCCTGGCAGAAGAGAGTGTGCCACTTCTACACTATGGGAGCTTGGCCAGGGCCTCTCTCCCAAAGTAGGAGTCTACCTCTAGGTCCATATATTCTGAGACAACCCAGCTGCAGGTTCAGTCAGGGCTTAGTGAGTGCTAGGCTGGTGCCTTGCCTTTCCACTCTTCAAGTCCTTCCTTAAAATCTGGGGAGAAGGTTGGGTATAAACAAGATGGTTTAGGTGAACCTGGGGCCCAGTTGGTTATGGGGCAGGCAGCCCCCAAACATGGCCAAATCCCTCCTCTCCTCTGTGTTCTGGGTTTGGCTATGCCAGGGGTGGCAGCAGCTGGGGAGCTGGTCCAGCAGCAATCCCCTTATCTCATCTTCTAGCTTCAAGGGACACGGCACAAAGGAGCTTTCTCCAGTTCAAAGGTGTCCTTGATCAGAGAACATGGCTGAGGCCACGCCTTGAAGCCACTTCATCCTCTGGGGCAAACAGGAAGTCAAAGTACAGTGTTGGAGAATTGTCCTTAGTGGCCCTGTCAAGCCTTTCCTACATTGAGGTGCTGAAGTGATCTGCACAGTGACATATACCTTTCATTAAAAATCCTATCAGATCATCAGGAGTAAACGTTCAGTGCATAGACACCAGGATATTCTTTTCCTTATCTCAGTTTCTATACAGGACTTTAAAAATGGGAGTTTAGGGAAAAGCTGGGACCTAATTCAACAAAATCCTCATAGGCCATAGGTACCTCTGGATTGGAGGTAGTAGAAGACACTGCTTCATTCCTGACCTCATTCTGTTTGGGGTTTTCCCAATCAGAAAACATATTTTAGCCTTTGTCTCCTATGCGTGTCCTAAGTTCTGTGTGGTCAGCAGATATCTATTAATTCGTCTGTAGATTCTATGGTAGTTGAGTTTAGTCACAAGAACACAGCTTCTCCATGCCCAGCAGTGGGTCCTGTAGCCTCTCCCTGCCCTCCCTGTCCTACCATGGCTCACTGGCTGGTTTCTGGCTGGAGGATACACCCACACCTCCAGGGCCAGCTGTCACGGTGCTGTCCTTTCCCTAATCTGATTGGCAGAGGTTTCCAAGTTGGATGCTTGTCCCCAGCCTCATTTCATGACCTAACACACACCCCCCTAGTGTCCACCCCTGTCATGCCAGCTCTGGGTTCCTGTATCTCTACAGTCAGCAGGACAAGGAGTATTTTGTAGAGTTACTGCCTGGCTATGTTTATGCACATCCATGCACAGTAAATGACTTGACTCAAGGAGGAACCAAGATGTTACTTTTTATTGTGTGCAGAGCATGTGCACTTCGGCATTTGGAAAGCAATGAAAACAGACTTAAAGTTAGAGCTATTTAGTTTTTCAAAAAGTGTTCCAGAGGCATTCTTTGTGTATTCTGGGTCTAGTATTCGTAGGGGACTTCCACCAGGGGAGTCATACATCTAAAGCCTGGAAGCAAACTCAGGGGGTCCAAGTTTAGTGGCAGCTGGTGTTCATCAGGGTGGTTGCATTCAGCCAAGGCTTGTTGTGTACCATGAAACTGCAGCGTCTTTTCTGCCATAGGGAAGAGTGAGACACATGACATCAGGGTTAGGGTAAAACAAGAAAATGCCAGAAATACAGATGAGGAATGGGAGTAGACCATTGAACTGCCCTGGTAAGCCCTAGTAAGAACAAGCGAGGTTCTCTCATGACCTCTCAGTCACCCTTCGTTCTGCCTCAAGTGGGGGACAACAGTATGCTTTCCACCCAAGGGACCCAGACTTCCTTTAAAGGGTACCTGCAGAAGACCACAAAGTCCCAGAGCATGTTTGACTGGGATCAGGCCTTCCTATCCTTTACTTCCAAGGGATTAAGGCTAAAGAGGGCCTCTGGAAGAGCTCCAGAATGGGGGCCATTTCCAGGTCCAGAAAACAATCCTTCACATAAAAGACAGGGTAGGGAGAATCAAACTCTCCTCCAAATATAAGACTTCAATAACCAATCCTGTCGTCAAGAATCTGGTGTCTGGTGAGTGAGTGAGGCAGCATGAGACATGCGTAGGGTGGGCTTTGGCCAGCCTCTGATTCCCTCTAATCTGCTTTAGGGCAGGATTCCATGGGTCTTCCTCCCTCTCAGCAGTCCCCTTGGCAAGATGTGACCCAATTCCAATTCCCCAGCTACAGTCCTCTCACAGATTTAAAACAGTCATAAGATTGTACACACATGTACACACAGACCGACAAACACATGCTTACACAAGAATGCACTAAATTGATCCCACCCCACAAACAAACACAGGGAAACTCCAGGTCCTCCTCAGCCCCAAACAAAGTACACACCTCCTTCTGTTCATCAAAGGGACATCTGAACCAGCCATAGTCCTTGGCCTCATCCATGGTACATATGGTTTTACCGATCTCCACCTCCAAAAAGTAGTTCATCCCAGCCACGACCTATACACGTGGTGAAGAACAAGCATTTACAACACTGTCCCCCTCACACCTCTCTACCTGTGAGCAGGCTTCCAAGGCTAGCTCTGTGAAGCAGAGTCATGTCCTGTGCCAGTGAGCTGAGTCCTGTGCCGCAGGTCCTCTTTCTTGTCATCTACTCTGAGGCTCCAATAGAGGCTCTCCCACACCCTCATGAGAGAAGCAGAAAAAGGGAAGGTGTAAGCCAGGAAGCAAAATTCTATGAACTCAGTTTAGGAAGCAACGGTAGAGCAAGGGTTTCGGCAAACAAATGCTTCACTGCTGGCAGCTAGAGCAAGGCCTGAGGCACAGATGTCAGCTGTGCAGAGGCCAGGCTGCAATAATTTCAGCTAACTCTATCTGTGATTTGCACAAATAAGTCACATTCCACTCACGTTATTTAGTATCTGCCGTATATAGGCTTATGCTAAATTCCAGTTACCTATAAGGAGTTCAGAGAAAATGCTAATCTTTCTATATAACTCAGGTGTATTCTTCCCTCCCATAACAATAGGACTTGGGGTGTTCACACACGTATTTGAGGCCAGTAGGCCTGCATTACTTTTGGTGGTGGTAGTGGTGGGGGCACCCAGTGATGTACAGAGCTTACTCCTGGCTCTGCACTCAGGAATTATACCTGACGGTGCTCAGGGACCATATGGGATGCCAGGGATCCCACCTGGGTCGAGTACAAATAAGGCAACCCCCCATCACTCTACTATTTGGTGTACAGCCTACACCACCTTAAATAGTCATACCTGTGAAGGTCAACACTTCTGTATGCCTTCTCCATTTGAGATTACTCTAGCACAGTGAACTCTGATCTCAGGCAGGGCAGCTCATATATGTGCTTTGCTGGAGTAGAAGCATGACGTGAGGAGTGCTGGGAACCAAATCGTAAATCCTTTCTGAGGGAACTACAAACTCCTTTGTATCAGATTCCCCACACAGGCACAAGGAGCTAGAAGGCTCACCTGATGGGGCAAGCTCAAGTCACATTTGAAAGGAGCAGGCTGGAGAGGACTTAGTGATTTGGGACAATAAAACTCCTGACCAGAGGGTTCAGGGCAGCCAACTGTGGTGGATGAAATGGTTATGGTCTTGGGTCCCCTCTAAAAAGTTAAGAGAAGGTAGACCAGTCCTGTATGTGAGCAAGGTCTTCCTTGTGCAGCTGGATCACTATATTGTAGTCTCCAGTAGGAATTTAAACTGAGTTATTGAAAGGGAAAACATCCTATAAACAACACCAAACTAATCAACTAGCTCCCATCATGGTGCTAACATCTACAGAATATTACTACACATCCAACACTGTATTGGGCCATTTTCCCATATATCTTTTTCCAACACTGTATTGGGTAATTTTTCCATATAATTTCCCCCTCTTTAACACTTGATACTCAAGTAGGTATTATTTTTAATTCACAGTTGAAGCTTGAAGAAATTAAATTGCCTACAAGACCCCTACCAGGGCCCTCCTTCAGTATGAGCAGTAGGCTTCTTCCTGGTGCTCTTTCATATCCATTCAACTCAGAAGAGCTGGCTGCCCTCGCTGTCTGGCGCAGCTGGCTGGGCTGTGGCCTTCTCTGCTCCCGTCCACACTCATCCATTCAGCTGCTGCTGGGGTGTGCCCATCTCAGGGCAGTAAATTCCACAGACCAAAAAGCTTCTTCATCTGCACATGGGGAACACTGGTCCAGAGTTCTTTCCTCCAGGATCTCAAGAGGTTTGTATTCTGTGTCAATTCTCTACTCTGGAATCTCTGGGACCCCTTGACTGGTCAGTGGATGCTTGAGTGTGCTGATAAAATCTGTGCATTCATTGAGCAGTGTTTTTTTTTTTTTTTTTTTTTTTTTTTTTTTTTTTTAGCATTGGCCCCAGGCACCTCATTGTAAGGCTAACACTGCAAAGGCTGGATCAGCTGAGTGGCACCTGTGAAAAACCTGCAAAGTCAGAATCTAATTGGAGTAAAGATCTGGTCAACCCAAACTGAGCCTGCATCGCAAATGACTGGACCCTTCATAAAGACCAGAGCAGGCCCTGAGACAGACTCATGGGAAGCCTCAGAGATCACGGGGCTTCAAGGCCTCATAGCATGTCCTGGGACAGGGTAGGACAAGCAAATTTCTGAATGTCAGATGTCAGTGATAATCCCTGGCTGTGAAAATCCTATATTCATTATATTAGAAACTTTGTTTTTGAAAACGTTTACATTAAAAAAGTTAGGGAAAAGGCTCATTGTTCACGGGGACTGGCCTGAGAAGCCTGGGGGCTCCCTACTTCATCTCCCTTCACATGGCTCTCCTGATCTCCCTTCACATTCCTCTAAGTTTCTTTAAATAAAGCTGTTTCTGCTAACTCAAAAAATATTCAGAAAAAATAAATGCATACATATCCACAGCGTGCATGAACTATGGAGAATAAAGGAAACATGATGATATTTGCAAGTGAGGAGCCTGTGGAAGGACTCAGAGACTCCGTGCTATTCACCTCTGCTCTGTAAGTGTGAAGTGTAAAGGGAACAGGAAAAAGGACTGTAAAAAGAACCACTCAGAGGCACAGCAGGGAGAGTAAGCCAAGAGCAGGGTGAAGTGCCAGGGGTCAGTTCTTCGCTCATCAAGAACTTGAAGGCTCGGTCCCAATACGGTAAAGGGGTCCTGGGGCAGGGCAGGAGGGAAGGGCAGGGCTCTGGCCCTAAGCAGTGACCCCAAGCAAGGAAGCAGCAAGAACTTCAAGCGGGCGTCAGGGGCGGGGCCAAGGCCCGGGCCTCCCCCGTGACCAGCACCGGAAGGGCTGTGGGAGACTCGAGTCTGAGAACCCCCCCGCCCCGCCCGCTTTCCTCCCAACCCCACCCCGCCTCCCGCGGCCCCCCTCCCGAGGCCCCGCCCTCCGTCAGCCCCGCCTCCCACCGCCCCGCCCCGCAGCCCCGCCCCCGAGGCCCCGCCCACCAGCGTCCCCGCCATCCGAGGCCCCGCCCTCCTGCGACCCCGCCTCCTACCGCCCCGCCCCTGCGGCCCAGCCTCCAGCGGCCCGGCCCACCGCGGCCCCACCTGCCGAGGCCCTCCCCTCCCGAGGCCCTTTCCCCTGACCTGCTTTCAGCAGCCTGCTCCGACGCTTCCGACGGCGCAGTAGGGGGTCCCCGCAGCCCCTGCCGGTCCTGGAGGCCCGCGAACCGCCACTCACCTGCTTGCGAGCACTCAGTAGCCTCACGGGGCGGTGCAGGAACTTTTCTTTGCTGAACCTGTTGTACTCGCGCATGGCGAAGCTTAACATCCGCTGCACGTCCACGTCGCCGCTGTCAGCGTCCATGAGGCCGCCCACCAGGCGCTGCGACATGCCCGACTTCGCGCTGAGCACGGAGCTAATGGCCAGGGCCAAGGCGGCCAGCAGGAGAAGCGAGCGCGCGGGAGAGCCCATGACGTTGGGCAGCGAATGGCCGCTGCAGCAGGGCCGCGGAGCAGACCTTTATCGGCACAGCCCCGCCCCGCTGCCCCGCCCCGCCCTGGCCCCGCTGCCCGGCCCCGCCCACAACCCCATCCCTGGCCCCGCCCACAGGCACGCCACGCCCCTTCCCAGGCCCCGGCCCGCTGTCCCGGCCGGCGCCCCGCCCCACTGCCCCGCCCGGCGACCCTCCCGCGTCCGGCTCCGCCCCACCCCGCCTACATCCCCGCCCTGGCCCCGCCCCGCTTCCTGGCCCCGCCCCTCCCCGCTGCCTGGCCCCGCCCTCCACTCGGTCACATCTCCGCCCCTCTCCCCGGCTCCGCCCCGGACCCGCCCACAGCCCCGCCCCACCCCCGGCTGCCCAGCCCCTCCGAGCGGTCACAGAAGTCCGCCCCGCGCTGCCTGGTCCCTGCAATGGGCGGCGCCGCCAGCGTCCCCTGCCGCACCTGGGTCCGCCGTTCTCCCGCTCCTTGGCGGGCCCTGCTTCTCTCCCACCGGTCCTCCTCGCTGGTACGGGTCTGGGCTCGCCGAGTCGCCCGCGTTTGCATCAGCGCTGCCCGGTGGAAAGTGACCCTTCCCCGGGAAAGGCGTGTCTGCGACAGAGCAGCCGGGCATGCTCGTCCTTCAGCGTGAAACTAGACTGACTCGGTCGATCTCGACCAGAAAGTGCCCCTCACGCTGTACGTACGCGTACCCACACGCGCAAACTATAATGAGGATAAAACTTCAGAGGGATGAGAGAATCAGAAAAATCCAACCCTTTCTCTAGCTTTAAGCCTTAGGTTTGTTCTGAAGATTCCTGCTACTCGGTTTCTTTTGAAACTGCTTCTGAGCAGGGCCTGTATTTGGCCAGCAGGGCCTAGAGATGAAGAATGCAGGGAAAGCCCCTACCATAAGGGGTCCAGTGGCGACCTGGAAGGGGGGTTTTGAGAAGAACCGACAGCACGAGCAGTGAGAGTCAAACCCCTGGTCCACTAATGCTTCAGAGGTTGGGAAAGGTGAAAGGTAGAAGGTATGCGGAAGGACATTTATAGCTTTCATTATTAAGTGAATTGGTGGGGAATTGTTGGAATTGTTGTTAGTACAAAAGACAGACAGTATTATATTGGGTACATTGAGTACTGGAGCTGGGACTCAGAGGGCACTGAGGCCAGCTCTGCCTGTCACTTGGTGTTCTTTGTCCCTCCCCTTCCTGCCAGTCCCAGAGGAAGTAGATCTAATGACAAGGACTTGACCAGGCATGAGTTAGGTTTCACTGGGCCTTGACTGATCCCTGCATTAGAGTTCTTTAGGGTGAGGCTGTGCCAACCTCTATTCCTCGCCTTGATTTTGTAGGGCTGCTAAACTGTCTCAGCAAGATACACCTTTACAACCCTTCCCTTCTTTTTTTTTTATATATCTGATAAAATTTCTTCTCTTCCACCTTTGATATCTAAGTCCAAGAGTTCTATTTCGTCAGTAAGAACACTTGTGAGTTTCCATCATCTCCTCCCAACCTTTCTGGCAACAAATCTACACCGTCCTTGTTACATTTAGAGATGAGCTCAATCTCTCTCTTATTTTGATCGCCAATGTAATAGTATGGAATAATGTGTTATCATTTTCACATGTTCCAGAATAATCTTTTTTTTTTTTAATACTAGAAGGGGATTAAGGCACTCTAGTGCTATGACTCCTGTAGGTTTTGACTGGAACTTGGTGAAAATGCTGTTGACAAATAGTGGTCCAGGGGATTGTGAGACTGGAAGGGAGCAAAAATGGGAGTGGGCATCTCTGTCTGGATTGGTGGGAGAGGTGGGGGAATATATCCTCCTGAACCTCTGATATTTTATTATTAAAAATTCCAAGCATGCAACAGAATGGTTTTATAACAAGTACCTGTATACTCTACACGTGGGCTGGAGCGATAGCACAGTGGGTAGGGCATTTGCCTGGCACACGGCCGACCTGGGTTCGAGTTCTCTCTCCCTTTCAGAGAGCCTGGCAAGCTACTGAGAGTATCCCGCCCGCACAGCAGAGCCTGGAAAGTTCCCCGTGGCGTATTCAATATGCCAAAAACAGTAACAGCAAGTCTCACAATGGAGACGTTACTGGTGCCTGCTCAAGCAAATTGATGAACAGCGGGAGGACAGTGCTACAGTGCAACCCATATACTCACAATATTCGTTATATAATTAATCTTTAAGTTTATTTTGTCCATCTGTCATACTCCTTAACATACCATCATGATAACATTGGATAGAGATCAATATTTACTTAAAGCTTTTTCATCTTTTTTTTATAATGTAACAGTACTGCTATTTATTCAGCCATTAAGCTGATTAAATTGGGCATGAACTCCACTAGCTTTTTTATCTTTTGAAAAATTTACCTGCATGCATTTTAAGTATATTACTTCAATTACATGCAACTTAGTTTTGACAAATGTATATCCCCATGAAACCCAAATCTCTATAAAATACTCCCAAAATATCACTTCCAAAATCACTTCCAAAAGGCCCTTTCAAGTCTGTATCCTCCACACCCTGCTGTTTTATATTGATGCTTTGATAATTAATCCATGATGTTAAAGTTGTAGATTTATAATTCATTTTTGCTTGTCATAAGAAGTAGCTCCAGAAGAGTCTTTAGAATGTCGTCATCGTCGTCGTCATCCTCCTCCTCCTCCTCTTCCTCCTCCTCTTCCTCCTCCTCCTCCTCCTCTTTTTCCTCTTCTTCTGCCCCGGAACAGCTTTCCTCTCCTCCATCCCTACCTGCTCCCCTTCCCAACATCACATCTTCATATCCCAAAGCTTTAATTTTTGATACTCATAAAGTAGGTTTTTAAATCCACTTATAAAGTGGATTTAAGAAAAATGCACACCACAGAACGGTAGAGTTCTACAGGACTGAAATTACCTGAAATCAGGACGGGAGTTATGTACAGGAAGAGATTGGAAGATGAGAGGAGTCCTTGGGATATTGGTGGAAGGAACTCTGGTGTGGGGTGTGATATGTATGAAACTATTGTTAGCAATATTGTAAATCATATCACCTCAATAAAAAATGGGAGAAAACACACACAATAATCTTGATGAAAGAAAAATAAAGAGCAGAATTTCCAATCTCTTCCATATATTAGAAAATATAAGCACTTTTCAAAAGTAAATAACTTTTTACATGACTTCATTATGGAAATAAATGAGAAACAAAAAGTATAAAGTAAATTGTGTGGCTAGGGGAAAAGGGAGCTCAGATAGAGAAGGGAGCACCAAATAAAGGGTGTTGGTAGAATCCTCCCAGGATGGAAGATGCATGCTGAAAGTAGACTATAGACCAAGCATGATTGCCGTTCAATGCCTCTTTGGCAAACCACAGCACCCAAAAGGAGCGAGAACAAAAGGGAAAGCCCTGCCACAGAGGCAGGGTGGCATGGGGGGCATGAGGGGTAGGAGGGATACTGGGATCAGTTGGTGGTGGAGAATGGGTACTGGTGGAGGGATGGGTACTCGATCATTGTATAAATGAAACCCAAGCACAAAAATTTGTAAGTCTACAACTGTACCTCATGGTGTTTCACTAATAAAAATTAAAAAAAATTGTGTGTACTTGAACTTGTGTACATGTACTTGTGTATTTTGACCACACTAAAATCACGTTATGATTGTAATTTTATGCTTGTTTTTCTCAGTCATGAACATTTTCTTGTTTTTCATATTGGTTTTAAAAAGTTCTGCATTATTTTCTGTTCTAGTTATTTCAAAGTTTATCTTTTCTCGATCTTTTCTCTAAATTTCCTCTGATAATCTTTTAGGCTGCCCCTCTTTTTAATTTTCCTCTATGATGGATAATATTGTGACACTGTTATGGAATAAGAGACTTGGTACATATTTTGGGCTGTTTTCTTCTCAGAATTGTAATTCTGAAAATAAAGATATTTTGACTACAAATGATTATTCAGAAGATATGTCTGACTTTATCAGGAACAAGTAGGTTCGGCCCATACATTTAACTATTTTAGGATCAGTGAAACATAACTTCTTCAAATCAGATCTTGGTTTTATTACAGTATAAGAGCTTATTATCAGTCCCTACTCTCATTCCATTCATATGCTTTTTAAAAAAATGATTAATATGACAACATATTTGTGTCACATATTGTCTCTGTGTAAGGTTAGTGTGAAGAAGTTGAAAGAAAACAAAAATAAAAACCAAGGTCAGTATGAGTTTAATAAGTAAGAGTTTAAACCTAATAAATAAGAGTTTAAACCTGTATTTCCCCCTTTCTTTCTGCATAGGCAGACTCACCAGTGATGGCAAATCAGCAACAGAGGAGGATAAGGACCTCACCTTTCCCATAGAGTTTGAGAGGAGTTTTCAGAACAATACATTCTAATGTACACCTTCATAGTCTCTCATAGACTTATTTTATTTATTTATTTTTTGCTTTTTGGGTCACACCTGGCGATGCACAGGGATTACTCCTGGCTCATGCACTCAGGAATTACTCCTGGCGATGCTCAGGGGACCATATGGGATGCTGGGAATCGAACCTGGGTCGGCCGTGTGCAAGGCAAATGCCCTACCCACTGTTCTATCACTCCAGCCCCAGATTTTTATTTTTAAAACATATGAAATAAAAATCACTGAAACTTGGTTGTAGCCCCTGTAAAAATAGTGGAAAGTCGGATTTGCAAGTCTACACTTCTCAGAACACGTGGCCTTGGGGGTTTGGCACCAGCTACTGTGGAATAGTAATGTGGAAGTAAACATCTTAGTTTGCTGCTCCTCTCTGTTGAGAAGCCAAAGACTCAACAAATACCATGTGCAATTTATAAATCGAAAGCCTTTATTCCTTCCTCTGGTTGACCAAAAGCCTCTTGACTCTGTAAAAGTCCAAGGACTATATGGAGATATAGACAACTTACAAAAATGTGGCTTTCCTCCTAAAATTACTACCACAGTGCTTAGGAATGTAACCCTAACTTTGTTATAGGTCTGCGAGATAGAGTTGGAAGAGTATAA